CTATGAAATGCTTCGCAATGCTGCTAAAAACAGAATTATTTAATTCTGAATATTTAACATCTCACCTGACAAGACGATGTACTGTGGACGCCTATGCAGAAATGCACGACACCCTAAAAAGAAGAAGAAATAATTGTGTCAATACGTTTGTTGTATTTTGAAAATCTTCTGTAATATTTTTCAGTTATCAGGGTTATCAGGTAGCATCCGAGGAACTTTCTACGATTGATTTCGTTCATTATTTCGTTCATTATCACATAAGAGATTTCTTTAGAAGTAATTTTCGAATTTGTAGGTCCAAGTGTCTACATTGCGCAATAAACAGTGAAATCATTAAGGGCTTTCAAAAAATACTATTATACTAAGTGTAACCTGTTGTACAAAGATTTAATAAATAACTACTATTTTAGTGAATACAGTATCATTTTATTTTTGTTAATATTAACTTTAAAAATTTAATGCTAATACCTTTGTGTGACATCTAGAGAGTAATGTCCAAACTTTGTGCCGACGATGAATTAATCACGACGTCTCGACTAAAAAATACTTATTTGTAAATAATATTGTCCAAAATATATGCCCTATGTATTATGCAATCAGTAATACAATAATTTTGGTGGCGCCATCTAGTATGCATTTCTCGAATTTCTACAGCCTAACATGCGCTCTCGCCAAAATTATGACTCAATTTTCCAAAAATTTAATTTTTATCGTAAAATTGGAAAATCCATGAAATCATATCTGTACATCGGAACCATAAGACACTATGAGCACTAACAGCTATACAGGGTGGTGAATCGTCAAACACGCCATAGGAAACTCAATGGGAAATTCTAAATTGTTGAATTCCTGCTTCCCTAATTATTTTACACCAAAAGTCATGGAAAACTATTTGTAGAGGACTCAAATATGTATCGAAAACAACTGTTAAAATTGTTCTACGACTTAAACGTATTCCAAAATTTTGCTAAAATATAATACATTTTTCAAGCCACCCTAAAAGTCAGGCCAGATGCCGCGAAAAATCAAGTTAATTAAAAAATGTACTCAGTTGAGGAGAAAAGAGGAATAATAAAAATGTTTTATTCATGTTTTATTATAACATTTGCTATAGTTTTATGTTTAGAAATTATCATATATTATTATTAGGAATAAAGATCACAGTAACAGTATATTGGAATTCATTGAATTGTTGTATAACTTAACATGGAATTAAATTTTAGTGTATTAGAATATCTTAAGTTAAATAAAGATCCGCTAGTGGCAGGAAAAGGTTAGCGCTATTGCCTGAATACAACATTATGCGATTTTTCGTCAGCTGAGTACATTTCATTATATTGATCGATTTGTAAACAATATAATTTATTGTTCACAAAGTAATATTGTTCAGTGGTAGTAGTATTTAGTAAAATTCATTGTTTATAATTTAATCATAAAATAAAAAAATTGACAATTCAAATTGTCAAACATCTGACATCAATATGATAAAACACACACGTCATAATATATATTCTTGCATTACGCGTGGCCTAACTTTTAGGGGTGGCTTGAAAAATGTATTATATTTTTGCAAAATTTTGAAGTACATTTGATTCGTAGAACGGTTTTAACATTTGTTTTTAATTCAGATTTTAGTCCTCTACAAATAGTTTTTTATGACTTTTGATCTAAAATTATTAGGGAAGCAGCAATTCAACAATTTAAAATTTCCCATTGAGTTTCCTATGGCCCGTTTGACGATTCCACGACGATTTACCACACATTTATTTTGAGAATAAAATACAAATTTACGTAAATTTTTTTATTTAAACTTTTTTATTTGTAAATATGAAATTAACATTTTTTATGATGAAATCGTAACGTCCCGCTTAGCTTAAATAACAGCCTGAACTATATTAGGGATTGTATCAACTAGGCCTTCACAGAATTCAGGGGTGAAACTATCCCATATTCCTTGTAATTTAGCACGTAGTTGTGGCAAAGTACGCTGAGGGTTATTTCTTAGGCATTGTATCATTGTGTGCCCAAGTGTCTCTATTAGATTAAGATCCAGGCTGCTAGACGGATGTGACTAAACTTTAATGTCATGTTATCCCATCCATTTTTTGGTAGATTTACCCGTATGACATGAGACTCAGTCCTGCTGAAAGATGAAATCTCCGGATGAATATAACTTTGACGCACTTGGTAGAAACGAATATTCAAGAATATCTTGATATTTGGCTGTGTTTACTATGGGGGCAATAAAATTTAAAGTTTCCAACCCTTTATCCGACATACACCATGATGACCTGTGAAAAATTTACAGTTCTTTTGATGAGAAAATCCTTATGGAATGATTCCCGAATTACACTTTTTCCCCAATCACACGCTTTCGATAAACTCTTACACGGATACCAAATTTGCTTTTGTCGCTATAGATAAATTTGTCCCAGATAAAATTCCCTTTTTGGGTCTCCGTCAGCTATTGTTCTTCTTTGACCTATTCGAATAAATAAAAAATTAGGAAATTTATGTCGCGAAGAAGAACCTATCAAACACACCTTATAAAAACTAAGATTACTTTTGCGTATATATTTGCAACAGGATTCTCTGTGAACATTCATCCCAGTTTCTCTTTTCATTCTAGCAGTTATTTCTTGTATTGTATTTCTTCTTCCCCACTTACGTATTCTAATTAAATGCTTTACACTCCTTTGAGAAACACCTTTTGGACGGTCTGAGGTTTTGCCGCAAACATGAATACTGGCAGTTGCACCATATTTCTTAATAATATTAAACATAGTAGTTCTTGCTACAGTGAATTCACTGGAAATTTCACGCATTGATTTCCCTTCATGGTACTGATGAATAATAATTTCTCGAACTTTTGGATCAGTAGTGTTTCCACGTTCCATTATTATATTTTACTCATAATAAAACTAACGGTTGTCTTTATTTATACTTTATTAATTATTGTTGACAACGCACTACCTACTCGTATGTTTGATTTCAAACCTTCTTTGTGTCAGGTTGATAAAATTCAAGAAACGTGAGGAAAAGCAAAAATGTTCCAATATTTAGTTGTCAGCAGTTTTCGATTATCAAACAATTAGTTAAATAGTATTCAAAATAAAATAAAATGTTCTTAACTTCATATTCACAGTTAAAGAAAAATTAAATAAAAGATTTTTCGGTAAATTGGCATTATATTAGCAAAATAACTGCTTGTTTCAACATATAATTGTTAGGGCTCGTATGTTCACTTTTTTGAATAAATATTTTATGTATCCTGTTTTACTTTTTAATACTGATTTCAGAGATATATGACACTATGTCATAGCCCTACTAGATTCTATTTTAGAACCAAAATTAAAACACTATGTGCCGTTTCTAGTTAGAGCCATTCAACACTATGAGTACATAGTGTTTTATGCCCCTAAAGTAACAAACGACTAAACGAGGTCACATACGTTTAACAACGTTATGTCCACATGTTCAAATTAAACGAGAGTTTGGCAACACGCATTAACAATGCTTTGTTGAAGTTTGTTAATATTATAACTTTTACCTTTATATTTTAACTGTTTTCTTCGATAATTCAATGAGTTCCCGAGCTAAAAAGCTTGTACTGCTGAAGAAATTGAGTATAATTGCTTGTATAGTAAATTACATTGTTAGGTAATATTCTTGAATACTCTTTGTATTTCAAACGCCGTTGTTGTCAACACATTAAAAAACGCTTAGCAGGGTTCTCATTCAACCCGATAGAAGAGGAAAACATGTACCAGCAACTAAAACATCTGAAATGGTTAAGGAAAGTGTCAGAAAGCATATTGCGTCTATTCCAGCATACGAAAGTCATTACAGCAGATAAAAAAAGTAAAAATAAATACTTAAGTATGATGATGAGTCTACAAAGCGATATACGATGAAAAATGATGATATTGATACTTGTATCAGCAATTAAAGCCCTGTTTTAACCATTGATTTACAGAAGTGTCTTCCAACACCATTACTGTCACGTGGTTATCATTTTGCAAGAGAAAACTATGAACCCTTAACTTCACTATCCGCAATGCTTCTGATAGTATGTCTCTTGTATGATGTGGGACAAAAAGATAAGTGTTCTTGGTGGGAACGAGTTTGCGTCTGCGCTTATAAGTAGATTTGCAATACTTATGACATCATTATATGGTCTAGATAGAGGTTATGGAACCAAATTAACAGTTCTATGCTTTATTGCTCGCATTTCCATCTACAAGTAATGTATTTTATTACATGAACGGTTATATTACTTTATATTTATATAATAGGCACAAAGGTCCCTATTAGTGTAAGGGTGGTTCTATTGAATTTGAGATCAATATATCTTGACATATTCTCATGTTTTTTTTTCTTATAGTCGTAAAACTTGGGACGGAGGTCCCTTTTCATCTATGGAAGAACCCTATTAAATTTGAAGTCCATTTTGACATATTCTATTGTTTACTTTTCTTGAAAAAAAGTACTATAAAAGTACTTTATAGTCTTGAAACTTGGTACATAGGTTCCTTTTGGTATAAGGAAGCAATTTATTGAATTTGTGGTAGTAGGTCTTCTTATCATATACTTTTTTTTAAGTAAAAGTCTTTACTCGTCAAAGGTATAGTCTTGAAATTGGGTTATAGGTTTCTTTTGGTGTAAGAACATATCCCTTGATTTTGGGGTAATCTTCTTATTCTAAGTAGTAGTCTGGAGTAGTCTTCTTGTTCTAAAAATATTATGCTTTCTTCTAAAGAAAACATTCCAGAGACTTGAAAGTTGGTTCAGTGGTTTCTATTAGTTAAAAAAGAACCGCACTGAATTTGGGATTAACAGGTTTTCTTTTTCTTCGTCTCGTTTTGACAATTTTTTTTTCTTGAGTTTTGACACTTAATAAACACATCCTTCCCAGTGAAAGAAAAGTTTGGCCAATCTTCTCTTCTCTTCGCTTCTGTTAGTTGTTCATAGGGGAAGGAACAAGAAAAATAATACACATTAAAAAGTGCACCTCCTCATGTTTATTTAACTTTCAACAACAGTTACGAACAATATAGGTATTTATCAGCAGTAAAATATACAAGGAAAGTAAAAAGTAGATAAACAATAGTATAAGCAACTTATAACATTTTTGTATCTCTGCTTCATAGTAAATATACAGTATTTGTGCGTTTGTTATTAATAAAAATAAATATATTTGAATAGTTTATAATATCATGTTTTTACGAAGTTGTAATATACTACCAATTATGTGAAAATAAAGGATGTCCCAAAATTCAAGCAAGGTTTTAAACTTCGCGCCACTTACGTGTAAGTCATCGTAAACGAAAAAAATTACAGTTTATATTTATTAAAAATAGATTATTACACGATACCAACTTTATTGTCGAGCAATATTAAAAATAATGAAGCTTTTGTACGCAAGATTTGCTATTTTCATTAAAAAATTGTCAAAATTTCTTTTAACTTTCTTAGCTGTGAAGATCAATTCAAAAAATCGGGGATCGTGCTTATTAGTGATTCTATAAGAAAAAGGCTCTCTTTTTATAAGATATTTAATAAAAGACATCTAATAAGTTTGTCAGTGCTTTTCTATGTCTCTATGAACATCAATTGGTCACTATTGAGAAGAATTAAACATTTTCAGAAGCTCTTTAAGACGTAAGGACATGTTTACAGCTTCATTCTTTTATTTGAGCCCGAAGTTTCACTCTTAAATTTTATATTCTATACCAAATTCTATGTTGTGGCCTGTTACCTGTTGCCTGTTATGGACTCTTCCAACTGTTTAGTGTGACTGTGAACCACGAACCGCTTTTACGTATTTCGTGGCTCTACTTCCGTGACGCTCGCCTTATCATTTTACTATTTAGCAAAAGTAATACAATGCCAGTATAGAACCTTCACTTCAAAAAATTGACAAGTGACGGTTGAGTAAGAAAAACAATATTTGACAGATAATCTGGCCATCACCATCTTGAGGACGGGGCTTTGTAGCCATCATCCTATCACTAATTCACCGTAGAGAGTTCGTTGAATGGATTTTAGCATAATTGGCGCCGAATTTTTCGAAGAAAATAAATAATATTTGACAACGATAACCATTTTTATTTTAATAGCATTGTTAAAAGAATCGAAAAATTTGTAAAATATTACAATTTTTAATTACTAGAAAATTACTTCCTGCATGAATGTTGGGACATACCATTAAAAGTGAGTGTATTATTTGCCAAAACTGTGATTCAAAATGCTACTGGCATTACTAATAGAGACTAAAATTACAGCTAGAACTATCAGACTTTACTGTTTGTACTACTATTGTAAACATAAATAAACTCAACGAAAATAGCAAAATTATTATCAAGTCTATGGCACAATTAAAATTTTCAGGTACGTCAGTCTAAATCGGGAAAAGGAGACAAAAATTCCATGGATTTAAAAAATTTCTGATGTATATTAGTAAGTAGAACTTGAGAGCACTTCATGTACTGATCAACAGGACAACTGTCCACTCTTATTCGATTACCTCACCATAATCGTAACACTGCTTCTATCTCAAAGAAAATTAATACTGCTAAATTAAAAAATGAAGGAAATATTTTCACAGCTTCATCAATATTATGATGCAAGATCATTTTACATGAAAAGTTCAGTACGAGAAAGTTTCGTACGATATGACCACGTGTCGATTTGAAAATGTATGGCACTCACCACTATGCACTACTAAATTTCTTATATTTTTTCTTTATATTTAATAAATATCTATATTTATTATAATCTTTTATTTGTCCCTGCCAAATTTCTCACTGTACTATTCCATTAAGATAAGACGTACCTATACCTGAGAAAGAGCTAGTCGAAGCCCTAACAATAAAATTGGTATCTCAAATGTCTGTCCATAGTTATACGACTGAGGTGTCGTTTTATTGTTACACACAAAAGGCACTTTTACAATGAATAATATGAATGATTTGGAGTAGATTTAACTCCATCTGACTGACGTATTCCTACATTTGACTAAATTTTTTATTACCAACATTTTGGAGAAAATAAAGAGCTGATAACGCAGGCAAAAAAAATTAACTCCTTCGACAATCACAATTTTTTAAATAAATAAAAACTTTTCATGTCTCCTTCATATATACCGTTTATTATGCTATATTATATTTTATTTACTAATATATGAAATTAAATCTTTTAATATGAAATCTACATAGATTTTTGTCTCCCTATCCTCAAACCCTAAAACATTTTGCAATAGACATTATATTTGAAGCTCCTTTCTTATACATTTTACTACAACGTTTATCGGCAAGATTCCACACAAATCATTATCAAACCAGGTAAAAAAGCTATTAATCTGCAAACAGGTTAAGTACACTACGTAAAAATGATATTAAACAGTCTTGTTAATTATTTACAACTTCAAAAATACATAATAAAGAAAAAATGGTAACTGAGACAACACCGACCTCAGGTTATTATCTAAAGTAAAAAATATAATATAAATGAGGGCATCCAAATAATCTGAAACAAACAATTCGATATTAGTGACATAAATAATTTTTTGGACAGCTTAGAACAGACATTTGTTAAAAACAAAATAGTTTTTTGGTCAAGGTATGTTGATGATTGCATAGCTCTCATATAAGGAGCCCAAGATGACGCTTTACAGATTCTGGATGATCTTAATAACCTCCATCCTAACATCTCTTTAACATTGGAACCAGAATCTGACAATAAGCTGAACTTCTTGGATATGACTATATATCGTAATAAAGATTCTCTTTAGAGTACAATATTTACAGAAAACCTACCCAAACAGATCATGTTATACATGAGACATCTAATCATCCAACCCAACATAAAATGGCTGCTTTCAATAGTTATATTCACAGGTTACTCAAATTTCCACTTTCGAATGATAACGTTAATTTAGAACTTAATGCTCTCAAAAAAATTGCTTTCAATAATGGTTATGATCCCAACATTATCCATAAGCTTCTAAATAGAGCTAAACTCAAAATTGCAGAAAAGCTTGCATATTCATCACATTGTCTTCTTTTTAAGAACTTTTCAGAATTTCAGAACATTTGAAAAGACCAAACTCTTCAAGTTTTGATCAACATTTATTATCTAGTAAACACAATTTTAACATCAATACTGGTTCATCTATTTTACATGACATCAGTAAAAAGAAAAACTATTTGGAGTTGGATTTATTGGAAGATTTGAAGATCACAAAGGAAACAAATGGAAACTCTCATTGTCTTAATACTCAAATTAATTTAAATTGTACTAAGTTTAAACCTATTTTTAAAAACTTTATTGCAGTTTCGCCTCGTAGTGGACCCAGCTCGGCTGTTTAGACTTCCTGCACTGAGTATACCCATTAAGAATTCATTAATTTCATACTTTGATCAACATTACTATTGTATTCTTCAACAATATTTAAAACTAGCTTGCTCAGGTTCAATTGATTTATAGTTGTCGTTAACCCATTAGTGCTTAGAACTAAAAAAGTTTGAAAGTTGTAAATTTTTTTATAGATTTTATTACAAAAAGCGTTACATATTTACTAAAAAATACATAAAAAAATCAAGGTCTGTCAAAAGGTTGTCAAAATGAGTGGCAACTTTAGTTGCCACTGAGCGCTTACGGTTTGGTAATAACTAAAAATTTTCTATGAAATAGAAATGTATTAAAACCTAATCGTGCTTTAACAAAACTAGAGATACATATTATGGAAATTATTTATGGAAAGTTTCAAAGCAATTCACATGTAGATGTACATTACATTTATTATACAAATATGTTGTTCTTCTTTGACACATTTTGCATCTGCGGTACTTTGAGTCTTCTTTCGCAATAATGTGATTTTTCTTGTCCGCTCTTAGATCTTCTAAAAGTGGAAAACGACGTATGCGGCCCGGGTTTATGGTTAATGGTTTATAGCTTTTTGCCATAAATTTCACGTGTGGTAATTCGTGACCTAGAAGCCTATATAGAAGCCAACCTTGAACACAAAATTCATCCACAGATCAAGCATAGAGTGGCCACCACCATTTTTTATTGCGAAATTTGCATCTATATTGAGCAGTGAACTGATCATTTAGGTCAAACCGCGTTTGACGCGGACAAAATACGTTTACTAAACCGCTGAACATTTTTAAACGGCACTTCTGTGTGGCAGTTTGATAATAGTATTCCAACAGCGTTGTCATTCTATCTAATGGCTATTCATTGAATGTGGAATGTGTCGTCCCTCTATCACATGAAAGATTCTTTCGTAGGTAAATTCATCCATTTTGCTATTCTATTTTCTCGCAATGTTCTAGTTCCTTCCAAGTCTCGTTTGGACAGTTTTTCAAGTAAGGACAAAGAAGTGAATAAATTGTCAAAATATAATTTAGTTCCGCTAGGAACGTTGGCATATTCAGCAAGTCCTAGTAATACATTTCCTCCTTGTCTAAGTCCAGTATCAGGAAGCTTTGTATGTGCACCGCAGTATGGTTCGGCATGAGACACAAATCCATTAGGGCTTGCTAAAACCCACAATTTAAACCCAAAACGAATAGGTTTGCCCCGTATAAATTGTTTTTTAGGATGATATCCATAATACGGGACTATGCTCTTATCTACAGCAACTGAATTTCCAACTGATACTTGCTTAAATGAATTATTTAGATAATCAGACATAGGGCGAACCTTGTAAAACCTGTCAGTGTTTATCTTCGAGTTATCATTTACATGGAGATACCGTAAAATATCCTCAAATCGACGTCTTCGCATTGCTTCTGCAACTATAGCTACCATGGAGTCAGGTTTATTTTGCCAATACATCCGCTTACTCGGCAGTTGGTGGTAACCAGATAATAAGATTATTCCCAACAAAACATAAATTTCATCATAACTTACATTTAAACTATCCATTCCCCTTTGTCCAGCATAAAGATTAGTTTGTGTAATGATATGTTCAAGTAGAGTATCAGTAAAAAAGCATTTGAAGTAGAGAATTTACTGAGTTTTTCAAAAATTCTATAGGCGATGGTCCAGAGGGTATAGTAATGGCAGGTAAATTCCAACTGTTTGCTTTTTAGAATAAACACTGTTTGAAGATGCAATTACTTTTCGCTTTTTATTTCCAATAATTTTTGAAGTATCTGGCTGTGGCCAATCAATATTTTTCTTATTCAAACAAATATTTATTGTACTGTTTGAATGTTTCTCAAAAATTTTCTCATCCAACTCAACAATTGCTTCCAATCTGAGGATTCTACCTGGTAAATGATTGGATTTCCTTCAGTTTTGTCATCTGATAAATCTGAATCCTCGTCAGTATCAGCTTCAGCAGATTCTGTATTAGAAAAAACTCCTACAGACCTGATTCTTCTAAAAAAACTTGATATGTAATTTTCTTCACAAGCTTTCATAATTTTATCTACGCTAAACCTATTATCTTCAGACCTAAAAAAAAAATAAATCATTCTAGTGCTCAGTGGCAACTAAAGTTGCCACGTGAATTTAGGGTACCATAATTAGGTTATAATTCAATGAACAGTTAATTTTCTTAGATCATTATATATAATGAACCTTTGGTTTAAAATGAATTGGGTATGAACTCAAAATATTATAAATTAACTAAAAAATATTTACATTGTTTAGGGCTAAGTTTGGTTGCTGCAAAACTCTAATATTGAAATAAATACTAACGAGCACCTAACAAGTTTATAAGCAAATTTGTAGGTTATAAATACATGTGGACACGCTAAAAATTATACATCACTTAAAAATAGGCCACAGACAATACACAAGAGATTTTACGGGCGTTGAAAGTCACTGGCAACTAAAGTTGCCACTGAGCGCTAATGGGTTAATTATACTCTCCATACCTCTGCGTAATTTAGATATACCAATTCCACAGTTGTATATTTCAACATCTCCCACTGGTGGTTAGTTGGTCTTTAGTAACGCTTTTACATATAAGTTTTATAGTTCTCCAATTGACTGGGGGTTTAACTGAACTACTTGAATTATATCCCATTTATACACGGCTTTTAATTTTGTTTTAACATTTAGTATTTTATAGTTTATTCGTCTTGAGGGTTTGGACCGTGTCATTTGTGAGTGACCCAAAAGTGGGTTCATCTCGACGTTTCACTACAATTGTATGTAGCTTCTTCAGGAGAACAAAGAAAAAGAAAAAGAAGACAGGAAGATGGGTAGATAGCAACGGTAACTCAGTTACTCAACGCAACCAGAGGCGAATACTAACTACCAAGATGGGCATTTGGTCACAGTAACTCAACTACTCAACGCAGCCAGAGGTGAAAACCAAATGCCAGGACAGGGATTCACGTCCAACAGCTCAGAACACTAACGCGTCGAGAGGCGGGGAGTGAATCCGACGATTACTCCGTATATTCGGAAGAATTGAGTGAATCCTCCCCGCCTCTCGACGCGTTAGTGTTCTGAGCTGTTGGACGTGAATCCCTGTCCTGACATTTGGTTTTCACCTCTGGCTGCGTTGAGTAGCTGAGTTACTGAGACCAAATGCCCGTCTTGGTAGTTAGTATTCGCCTCTGGTTGCGTTGAGTAACTGAGTTACCGTTGCTAACTACCCATCTTCCTGTCTTCTTTTTCTTTGTTCTCCTGAAGAAGCTACATACAATTGTAGCGAAACGTCGAGATGAACCCACTTTTGGATCACTCACAAATGACACGGTCCAAACCCGGAAGACGAATAAACTATAATTCTGACTCTGGCCGTGGAAGCCTACGATTTCATTTAGTATTTTAATTTCATAGTCAGATTTCTTCTTTTTTACAGTATTGATAGTGCCTGGTAGACCATTTTATTGTAGTCAACCACCCACTGTCTAATAGATTGTTTAGTCTATTTCTTTCATTCACACTCGATGTCCACTTCATTTGCTCTCAAACTAACAACCTTATTATTACAGACAGGTGTGAGTGTGAGATATGGATTGTGCAATCTAGTTAAAATAAAATATTCTATATGGCATATTTCATAAGCTGATTTTCTATAGTGGTGTCAGTTGGACCTTTGGCCAATGCCAGCTTACATACACAGAATTTTAATATGTGCAGATCACATTTCCATGATTGTGACCGCCCATCAAAGCTGTCATATGTCGCATGTCACCTTAACATTTCCGTTAAATACCATTCTCTCTCCTGTTGCCGACAAGATGTAGCGTAGAATAATTTTTAAATAATTTTAAACTGTTTGTCCTTGTTTTAGTGTAGTGTTATGTACAATTTATGTTCAATTTCATGTTTATTACATCCCACGCTTGCTGGATAGCCCAAATTTGACGAAGTAAGTCTAAAACGTTAATGACAAAAAAACTTTTATCACCCATTAACTTCGAGTTTTTTATCGAAGTTAATCAATTTTCTTCATTTAAAAAACGTTTCTTGGCTTATTTCAGATGCCCCTGATGATGCTGTAGAAAGCGAAAATACTTGGGCAAGATTTGATTATTAAAATTGTGCTCGATATAACTGCCTTTAATTTCTCAAAGTTCATTTATTCGAGCATTCAACCTTATATCAATTTACATAAATAATTTACGATACTATTTTTTTTTTCAAAAAACCTTAATACACATTTTAAAATTCACTAAATTTCGGGGGAGAAGATCAGTTGTCTTAGGTCACACAGAAGCTTATTCACACTTTGAAAGACACTGGTATGGTGAAGGTGCGTTGTTATTGAAGTTATGGTTAATAGGCCGTGAAATTGTAATTAACTGTTGTTTCATCTTTTTATGCTCCTTTCAGAGGAACAGTACAATCTGTTCACTGATAAAACAATTAAGTAACTTATTTTTAACCGAAAATGGGTTAACTGGGTCTGATCTGGTTGGCGTTGTCAACTAACTGAAGGCCTCCGATATTCACGTGACGATGAATAAACCCTAGATATTTGTGAATGTTACAGTTTCTAATGAACCAGCGGATTACACCCTTGTTCTGGAAACATTGGATTATTTGTACTGGCACAACCATAGTTGTATCCCATAATTCCAAACAGACTTGACAATCAGCGGCACCTTGATATGAGTGGATAATTTGAAGGCACGTCCAAGTAACCGATATTTAGTTCAGGGGTATCTCTGTTATAGGTAAATCTCACATCAAGGGTAAATACTTCTACAGAAGGGCCTTATATACAAAAGGATATGTATGACACTACAGGCTAGCTTAGAATATAGCAGATAAAAGAAATAACGTTACTGGGGCATACAGTGTAAGCATATATAGCCAGAGGCTGCCCACAGAAAAGTCTTATTTCGTCTTTTGTGGAATCTGGTCATGGATGGGCTGATAATTAAATTCGACGACAGGCATTATGTCTTCAGCTATGCGAATGACCCGGTCATCTGGGTCCACTAAAAATTTAATGGAACAGTCAGGACTATATTATAACAAAAGCTCTGACTGTAGTTCAATAGCAATCCTCATATTTTAACAAGGTACTTTAGTCTAGCTAATCTAATATAAGTAATAGACTGAACTTTTTTAATTTGAGGCTTAATAATATTTATGTAGTAAACAAGTATTTTGCACTTAAGTGGGTGATCAAATTATTAGAGTCATCTAATAAAATCCATTTTTTTTTAAGTTATATAATCGAGATGTATAATATATTAATGCGTTTGTTTCCATTTGATTACCTTGTAACACTTTATGAAAATACAATAAATAGTCGGACAATAGTGGAAACACAGCGGGCGTGGCTATAAGTGACTCAGATGGCGTGGACATTGTTTGTCAGCAATATTCTGAAAGTTGTATACTAGTTTTTTGAATTTAGCAAACATTACATGTTCTTTACACCAGTCGTAGTAGAACATCATGGAAATGCCAAAGACATCTCACCAAAGAAAATAGCGAAAATAAAAACTTTTTTATTGACTATTAATCACTTCAACAGAAAAATAGCATAAATTTGTAAAGTTTCAAGGGCAACTGTGGACCGTATAAAGAAAAAACTTGACGAAAATTTAGATTTGACCCCAAGGGGTTAACAAAAATGTCAAAAAAAAAATTACAAAATGATGAAGGAGTCTGACATCAATATTTCATCAATGACAGCTCGTCGGCAAATAAAGGATCTGGGGTTTCCAACCTGCCATCCTGCAAAAAAGCCGCTACTCACACCAGCTATGAAGACAAAGGGTTTCAATGAGTTAAAGATCATAAAGATTGGACCATTGATGGAATCAGGTAAATAACATTACTTAACATTGTGTTTCCTTTATGTAGTTTATAGTTGGTCAATTTGTCGATGATTCTACAATAATAATATTCCAGGTTTGTTTTTCGAACGAATCATTTGGGGACAGAAGACTCATTGGTAGACTCTACATTGTCGAAGGAATAATACGACAGGACCAGTACTTAAGAGTACTGGAAACAAAAATGCTTCCGCAGGTCCAAGAGTGGAATATTTAAAAGATACCCAAACAGGCTACAACCTATTCACCAACATTTAAACATCTCTTTCGGCGAAAGTAGTTCATTTCGTCCTAAACGTGACAACTTAAACCGGCCGAAAATCATTACGCCTAATCAGGAAGATGAAGTAATGGTTCGCGTTGACGATGATTCTCAAATAAGTACACAGCGTTAAGAATCAGCAACACTTCAGCTTTAAAAATCCTACACCGTAAGCATTTTCATCCTTACCATTTTACACGTGTGCAAAACCTATTGTCAGCAAATTTACCTTTAAGATGCAGATTTGCAAAAGATGTCTGAAACAGGTAAAATCATGACCACTCCTTCGTCGATGGAATATTTTTTACCAACGAAGCTATATTTACACAACATGGTCTCTTTAATTAAAAGAGAAATCATTTCTGACATACTGAATATCCTTATATTAAGAGAGAAACGCATTTTCAACATGAATTTCAAGAAACATATGATTTGAAACCATTGGTAATAATTTTTTACGGACATGCGAATTACGTCATAACTTGAATGGAGAGATTTATTTACATTTTTTACAAAATGATTTTATTGATTTGTTGGAAGAATTGTCATCAATCTTCCTAAACGTTAGAATCATTCATCTTTGTAAAGCAGAAAATTGGCGCAAACTTTTATATTCACATATTGAACTATTGAGATACACTGAGGACACTCTTAAAATATTGTACAGTGTCTATGATTTCCAAAACATCTATCATATAACTTAAAAATACTAAATACATCTTATAATACTTACCAATAAATCAAAATTTGTAAAATATTACAGCTATCAGTGGGCTAAAGTGCCCATGGGGTCCCAAGCAGGTAAAACTATAGGTTCTTGTTTGAACACGTCCAACACCTGTTCAGGCACGAATTTTTTGTCCACTACTACTTCAAAAGTAAATTCTTTGAACCAGTCCGAAGTCATGATCAAGTATCCTTTCTCTCCCCTATCCTCACCCCACGAGTTTTCGACTCTGAGCTTAGTCACTTCCCCGGCTTCCTGCAGAATAAGAATTTATATGAAAAAATAAGCATGTGTATCATATTTAGTCATATCTGTGGAGACAGCAAGCAAAATTATATTATTACTTACATTTGTATTAACAGCAGTAAAAACCATGGCGTGGGTCATTGCACTTTCACTATATAACAAACGATCAGCTTTTGACAGATCAACTTGAATGTCAACTCCAAAAAGTAATGGGAAATCATGTCTGAAACAAACAAAATCATGATTACCATATTTTAAGTTTAACATCGGACATAAGCACACTCAATAATTGTTTAAGAAATTACTTACGCTTTCAAATCCTGAATGCCCTGCTTGGCAACGTATCTCTTGGATACCTCGCATCCAAACCAAACAGCTTCCCCTTCTTTGATACTTTTAGCGGTAAGATCCAACAGCAGCTCTACTGGTTGGTTATTATAGATACACTTTCTACCTCCAGCCATGTTACCTAAGCAATCTACAGTATAAACCTTTCCGTATTCGTTTGTTGGCCTAGGATCAGTTACAAGGCAGACCTGAAAAACGTTTCAAATATTTCGATATTTCCAACAAAATAATTTGAAATGTTAAATCGAGGAAAATAATTTTGAATTAAGTCCAATATAATTTTTTTTAAATATCTATATTTTGTAACCAATCATCAATAAATACCATCTTCTCATATATAGTTCAATTTACCTTATCATCGACGTTGAAATATGGTTTAACATGCTTCTCGTAAAATTCTTTTGGAGTGATTGGACCCACGCTCTGGAAAGCCTTGTTCTTGTCATAATACGTCCAGGTAAATGTTTCGCTGGGGATTCCCAGGCAGATTCCTACTACCCTGTAAATATTGACCATTTGCGATTGGATTAGGGTATGTATATCTGCGTCACTTCCACCCTAAAAAATTAATCTTTGGTACAAACCACAAAAGAAAAGATTCTCTATAATTTCCTCTTGTTCTAAAATATATATTTCAAATTTCACGTTATTTGTACTTACTTTCGCAATCAATTCTCTAATAGCTCTAGCATACTCTCTAAGCTTACTCTTCAGGATTTGGTTCATCTTAACACTTTGTTCGCAGCTGAAAGATTCGGGAAAATTCTTTTTTGGCATAAGGCCATGTTTGTTGATAAGATTGACCAACATATCCCACTGACCACCATCAGAAGTTGGGTCCTAAAATTTAGTATATGATAAAAATTATGGTATTTCCTTCAATTTTCTTACCTTTATTACAAAAAGTTAAACGATGATTTATATAACGAAAACGATTACTCACATGTAATAAAAATGACACCAATCTTCCATCAACTGCCTCATTTCTTCTAGCTGTTTCTACAATATTGAGAAGAAAATTGTTACATCTTTCTATTTTGTCCCAAAAGAAGAGATAGGCTTGAGAAAATTCAAAATCTTCTATGTTGTGGTGTTTGACAAATGGCAAGCGGATGACATTTAGTGCGGCGAACAACCAACAGCGTCCAGAACTTCGTTGGTTTGTAACTGGTTTACCTTCGGCTTCAATCTACAAGAAAAGATATACAAATTATTGGCGATATTCCAATAACCACAGGACATTTATGGATCCAGACCAGAGTTGGCTGGTATCTTCCGTAGGACTCTAATGTTATTGTTTCAAGAAGGGATTTGTATGTTCACTTGATAATGACATCCCATATGCTATTGTCAATTTTTCTTTTATTAGATTAAAGTGCTTTTTTAATACTATCTTGATTTCTCAACTGTAGTAGTTGGCTACAAAGAATATCAATTTTAAAAGTCTCTCGAGGCTTTCACGATTTAAAAATGTAAGAAATTAACAAAACTATGAGAAACTTGGTTGAGTTTACCGAAAGTACAAGCTGAATATAGCCGCAAATGTCAAAAATATTTCGGTTTGGCAGTGTTGGCATGTTTTTATAATGCATATGTCGTAGGCTTCAAATATAAAGAGATAAAGCTTTTAATAAGTACATTTTGATTATACTATTTTATAAATTCGGCAATTTTTAATTTATATGAAACAATAAGGAATGGATATTTGTCTCTTTCAAGATTAATTGCAAACATCTGTTGTAATCTGGCAACTTCTGATTTAATTGATGGATTCGACCGTTACTTGATGGAAATTCATTTTATGTAACAATAAAACACTGAAAACTTTGTTTTCAAACTTCCACAAAAATTTATTCAAAGAAATTTATTTACACAAAGAAACAAATATTTACTCATTGTTGTTTTATATAAACCAAAAATTGCAGAATTCATAACATAATATAAACAAAATGTACTTTTCTAAAGCTTTATCTTTTTATATCTGAAGCATACAGTATCTACATTATAAAAACATGCCAACACTGCTCTACCGAAATTTTTTGTTCCATGTTTGACATTTACGGCTATAATTAGCTTGTACTTTCGGTAAACTCAACCAGAAACTTTATAGTTATACCTAGTAGCAGTGTAATACGCGGACCTATTTTCTCTTGATTTGTTCTACAGAAGGATGGGTTAATATAAACAAGTCACGGCTATAGAAATTTTATCTGAAATTGGGTAGCGTGGCTGCACTGGTTCAGCACAGTTTCTCTTAGAAGACTCCTGATTTAGACCTTCTTCTTCAAGTTCCACTCCTATCGGAGATTGGAAATCATTCTGGCAATTATAATTTTATTGGTTACTCGCCTGAATAGTTCAATTGAACTGCATCCAAACCACTCACAGAGATTGCGTAGCCACGAGATTTTACGTCTTCCTACGCTTCTTCTACCTTTGATTTTACCCTGCATTATACTCCTTAGTAGTTCGTACTTTTCACCTCTCATGATGTGCCCCAAGTATTCCAATTTCCTGATCTTTATGGAATTTAAAACTTCGCATTGTTTTCCTAGTTGTTCGAGAACTTGTTCGTTTGTTTTGCGATCCATCCATGATATTTTCAAAATGCGTCGTAACACCACATTTCGAATGCTTCTAGGTTTTTAATGTTGGATTTTTTAAGTGTCCAAGCTTCAACTCCATACAAAAGGGTAGAGAAAATATAACATCGAAGCATTCTTATCCGGAGCGATATATTGATATCGCGATTACAAAAAAGTTTTCTCATTCTATTAAAAGTTGACCGCGCAATTTCAATGCGGCATCTTATTTCTTTTGTCTGATCAGTATCTTCTGTGATCCATGCTCCAAGGTATTTGTACGAAGATATTTGTTCAATTACTGTATTATCTAGTACTAGCTTAACTTTGATGTTTTGTGCTTTTGTAAATGCCATGAACTTGGTTTTCTTCAAATTGATTTTTAGTCCATAATCGTTGCAATATATATTTAGTTGTTCAGCAAGGTGTTGCAGTTCTTCTAGTGTTCCTGCCAAAAGGACGGTGTCGTCAGCATATCTTATGTTATTAAGTGGTTCACCGTTTATTATAAGGCCCTCACTGATCTCGGCAAGCGCTAATTCTGAGATGGCTTCACTGTATAAATTGAATAACAAGGGTGATAAAATACACCCTTTCACCCAACTTTCACTTTTGCTGTTTGATTCCAATAGAGGTTACAGATGATTCTAATGTCTCTACTGTCTATGTTTTTATTTAATAAAATTTCTTTAAGTCGATTATGCTGCACTCAAATTCCTTCTCAAAATCAATGAAACAGGCATATACTTCCTGATTAATATCTAAGCATCTCTGCGAAAGAACACTTACTGCAAACAGTGCATCTCGTGTTCCCAGTCCTTTCCTAAATCCCATTTGTGTATTACTTATGCCTTCATCTAATTTCTTATGTATTCTATTGTGAATTACTTTTAAAAACAATTTCAAGACATGACTCATTAAGGCTATGGTGCGATGTTCATTGCACTCTTTTGCATTGGCTTTTTTGGGAAGCAGTATGAATGTTGATTGGAGCCATTCTTTAGGTGTTATACCTGTTCTATATATGGTATTGAATAGATCCAAAAGAAGATCAATAGATTCAGTATTCACAATTTTAAGTAATTCGATAGGAACTTCATCAGGCCCGGGAGATTTACCATCTTTAGCTTGTTTCATTGCATATTCAATTTCTTCTCGTATAATGTCAGGCCCAGTATCATCCTTAAATTCTTTTGGTGCTTCTGTTCTCTCTTTGTCTTCAAATAGTTGTGCTATATATTGTGTCCATCTCTGCATTTTTTGGTTTATATCTGTTATAAGTGCACCCCTTTCATCTCTTAGTTGCCTAGTTTGAAGTGTTTTTCTCATTCTTGTTAATTCTCTAATTCTTTTATGCATGTTAAAAAAGTCATATTTTTTCTCAATTTCTTCTAGTTCTTGGCACTGCTCATGTAACATTCTCTCCTTAGCTTCTTTTATTCTCTTTTTTATTAATCGATCATGATTTAGACCACGACTTAATAATTACTTAATTTCTACCTAATTCTCAACTTTCTACCTTCCAGATTCAGCGATATTTCTTGCAACCACAACACCCCGTTAGCAAATAGGCCTTAAGTAAACATTGGTTCAAAATCTTACCCAAACGTATTCACTACTTTTTAAACAACGTAGTTCCAACTAAGGGACCTGTTATACGAGCATTAATACGATCTACGATCAACTAGAAAGATGACGCTCAGTTCGATCGATTCGTTTCACTTATCGACCAGAAAGGCGACGCTTTCGAAGCATTCCGCCAATCTATGCCATTGACTATGACATATCTATAATATTGACTGAATATTTCAACTTTCGCTGTTACAGTAGTGCATTGATTAGTGATCAGGGTAGTAGTGCCTGGGGCTCTGGAAGCCTTTGAGTTTAATATTAATTCTTGTAATAATAATAACCTTAGCTTTAGATTTTCACTTCAATATGTTTTTATATTCTATCAAAAAAATTTCTCCTTACCTAATTACCTTCAGTAATATGTTCGGTTAATTTCTAATACAATTTACGGCATTCTATATTTGTTGCCATAATTCTTGTCGGGTATTAAGACACAAGACAAGTCGGGTATTGAGACACAAGAAAGACGGAGGCGGTCAAGTTTGATATCTTTTCAATTAGTTAAAGGAGATCTTTGTAATTTTTTGACTTTTTCTAAACTAAACTGTTCTATACATTGGTAGTGTTTTATTTTAAATTTATTTAAAAATTCTTGTTCTACGAAATAATATCCCTAGGACGATTAATGGTCATATTCGGTCACATCGATTTATGTGGGTTATTCCACAAATACTTTTACGTGGGAATTTCGTAGAAGGACAGTGGTAATTTTGATCCGGATCGATTTATGTGGGTTATAAATTTCACTTTTACGTGGGAATTTAGTTCAATTGGCAATATCATTTTCCAAGAATATTATTTCTAGGATTCGTTTACAAGTTATTGTCGGTTTGGCATTTTTTTGCAGTTTTGTCTAAAAGCCGTCGGTGACAGTCTGTCATTAGATTGATTTTCAAAAATGTGGTCAAGTCGTGGTTTTACTCAGCAACAAGCTTTGGATTATTTAGCGGAACTAGAACAATTATCTCTCGGGGGAACCTGTAACCCTAGAGAGCGCGTCCCCAGGTGGCGGATAGGGGAATGCCTCACCGGCCTGTTTGCAGCTAGGCCGGTGGGTAGGTCGGAAATAAAATACCACCGCGGACCAACAGGTGGGTAGATAGGACTCCTAAGCCGTAGAGAAGGCAACTTATCTAAGAGAAGGATACTCTGATTTAAAACCCTGGTCCTCCAAGTTGGGGGTTGAGGCATCGGGCCAACTCCTCGATACTCGGAAAAAATGATCAAAGTTAAAAATTTCAGCAAAAAGCCTTGGCATAAAAAAGAAAATGGATTATGAATTTGGGTGCTTGGAACATACAAGGAATAAGGACAAAACAGGAGGAGGTCTTCCGTGAACTGAGTAAAATGAAACTAGACATCTGTGTATTAACTGAAGTAAAGAAAAAAGGAAGAGGAAATGAAAAGATAAACGAATACCTGCATTTCTATAGTGGCGTAGAAAAGAGCGAACGAGCTAAAAGAGGAGTGTCTATAGCAATACATCAGAAACTGAAAAAATGTATTAAATCATGGAAAGAAATAGATGAAAGAATTATCCTCATGGAAATTAAGAAAAATGGCCATGAAATAGTGGTAATTGGAACATATGCACCGACGGATGACTCAAGGGTTGACAGCAAGGAAGAGTACTTTAACAAGTTAACAACTGTTCTAGCCACAATTAATAAGAAGAAAGAAATTTGGATCTTAGGTGATCCTAATGCAAGAACCGGAAAGAGCTCCAACAGTGAAATAATAGGGAGATATGGAGAAGACATTCTGAACGACAATGGTCAAAGATTAATAGATTTTTGCGAGGCACATTCTTTGAAAATATTAAATGGTTTCTTCCCCCATAAGAATATACATAAATTTACATGGACGCAGCCTACCAATAATTTAAAATCAATAATCGACTATTTCATTCATCGTAAAGATTCTAAACTAAAAACGAAGGACGTGAAGGTGTTTAGAGGGCCAGAATGTGGAAGTG